TGTCTGAATAAATGACTACATGGAAACAAGGGTATGAAATTTCAAATCAGCCCTCAAACAACACCACTATGGTCCTGCTACAAATTATATGAAGCTGTGAAAGCCCTATCGTCTTTGCCGGATTTCCAGAAGAGTAGAAAGTCATTTACTATAGCAGTCCTGAAGCGGGGTGACAGATAGTTAATTATTTGCGTTTGATACCCAGTACCCATGTTTACTTTCACACAATTACTCATCCATGTATTCCACTTTGCACCGGCATAATTAACAGCTTAATCAGGAAAAGAGCTGATGTGAAATGAGACAGTAACAGACAGCCGTCTGGCTTGTTAACGACGCGTCGCTGAAAACAAACATTTTTCAGTTTACTTGTGTCATAAAAAGCAGACCCACTGAGAAGTGGGTATTCCCAGTATTAACACTTCTAAGTGGAATCATGTTTCTGGGATAAAACTTCTATAACTCTGAATTTGTGTCAGGAGGCTACAGAAAACGATTTCTCGCTGCTTTTGCGTTGTTGCCGTACACAGCTGTTCAAAAAGCGCTTTTTCTTTAACAATTTGATATGGATGGGTCTAAAATTAAAAGCCTTCCCTGCACCAAAGAACTAAAATCTAACAGAAACAAGGTCCTGTCCAAATACATTTGGAGCACAATGCATGCCATTTGATAAAGAGTGTTTAGAGCGTTATGTTTGCCAGTGAAGCATCTGAAAATATCCCACAATCTCCACTAATCATTTAGACAAAAAACCTCCAATCTGCACCGTAGCCTACTTTCCCTTTGCTATACTGCCTCCTCCGGGCACAAGAAATCCCCCGATGGCTTTCAAAACTGAACACACAACAAACCCACTTAGTTCCTAAAATCATGTTTTGGATAGTGAGAAATTCAAGGGCTCTGTGAAGAGACGAGCCCACAAAGCAGGCTGGTTTTTTTCCTTCTTGTTAAGGCTATAATGTACAGCCAATACCTGGTTCATACGTACCAGTGTAATCCTCTCCCTTTGCTAAATGCCACAAGGAATAAGCAGTGTTGACCTTGGGAGACGCGGGAGCCGGATTTGAGGGTGTCTTTTTAAAAGCCTGGGTGTGTAATTGAGTAGAGCGGCGGGGTGGCAGGCTTTGATGGTGTTCGCGCAAGCACAAGAGAGCATGAGTGCGTGAGGGGGAAGAAAAAAAAGGCAAGCAGAGGCTCAGGGATACACAGAGACATACAGAAAAACGTAGGAATATGTGGACTGTTTGCACACCAAGACACACACACAAATTCTCTAGGTTACTTGTAGGTTAACATCAGTGCATTCAGCAAAGCAAACTCATACAGGGAGTCATCAGAAGAACATGAGGAGGTAACAGCCAACAGATTTTGGTGTACGGTGAAGGTTTAAAGGCGCTACCAGCACCGTGAGACTCCTCATCACCCACAAAGATCAAAACAGGGCCCAGCTTTCCTCCAAGAAGCCCTCCAGGCCTCAGGTCCAAAACACTATCCTTGATGGAGGTTCAGCTCAGTTAGCAAATCTGCTACTCCAGTACATCATTACCCCAATTTTGGCAAAGCTTTTATCAAATAGCACATCACCCTGTGCAAGTAATGCATGTGGAACGTAGACTGATCCAACAGTTGCACAGGTTGTGGGAGTAGTGCTGCAGTTTGTTTCTATTGTTTTAACTTGCTGCTTACCCTTGGTTTCATTCACCGGTTAGATTCAGCCACTAAAAACTAACTGATTAACTTCGAAACAGGTCGTTGTTTAGGTTAAAACATGTCTTTGTACACTGAAAAATTGCATTTACCAAATGGGTTTGGATGTGAGACCAAGGAGTACTTTAAAGTGTTCATATTTGATGAGATATTTGATGGCTGTCACAAAAGAGAAGTATTTGAGACTCCAGCAGGGAGACCTGGCTAAAGGGACAGGTGCGTGTCACTGCTCTACATTCACTAAGAACATATTGTGGATTTACTCACTGCTCATTAAAAAAAGAAGACCAGGTGGTGCTATAACAGAGGCTGTTACACAGCTTAGAACGTGCTACTTGGGAAGCATATGAGTAAGCCATCAGTTATTCTACATTACCTCAAATGACACTGAAGCTAATGTAGCAAGCTAAGCTACAAAAGCCTTTCAAAAATATTACATTTTAAGCTACGTTTAAAACAAATTACTTTAAATGAACCAAATTGGTGAATAAAAGTATCAGTGAAACAGATCTGCAGTTCATTTAAATTCTGAATTTAACAAGAGGTGCTCTCACAGCTCCAAAACCTTGGCAATTTGGCAACAAAAACAATGAAACTCATGAATTTTTCAAAGCACAGTCATGGCACAGACCAAGTCTCAAGCTCCTGAGTCTGTTTTCCTTTGCTCCCGTGTTAGACCTCATTCCAAGAATTGGTACATGATGTCACTGTCAAATGGAAGCGGTTCTGTCGGCTTTACCTGCATAACCGTATTCGGTGATGGAGTCATGCATGCATCTCGAGTTTTCCATCAGATTTTAGCTGAAAGCTTCCCTGTGCTTGAGCATCGGAAATGCTCTACAGCTCCTGTGGTTTCTGATACACTACGGCACTTTCACCCCATGCTGTTTGATTTAGAAAACAGTGACTTTTTCAGCACAGCACAGAGAAATGCAAACTAGTTATACTGCTACTAAGATTGTAACTCCATCTAAACTCTAAACACACTGTTATGATCAGCATACATATCGACAGCTGTTATTGATAAATAAAATGTCTAAATATTACCAGGAAATATTAAAATCCCACTACCATGTGAGCTAAAATCCTTATTCTGACGACGAAATTATATGAAATCCGTTTAATTATAAGTTTCTGACTCAGTGACTTGTATGAAAACTGGGAGAAGCTCAACAACAAGCAATTGCTGTATCTTTCAAACTTAATGTCTGAGTACGCTTGGTTCAGTCACACATTTAAAATGACTTTGCCTTGAATTTCATTTATAGAAAAGAATTTCAAATTGTAGTCGCGCCTATTTTACAACAGCCTTCAGATCACACCAAAGCTCCAAAGTTCTAATGAAAAGAAAAAACGTGTAAGAATGCAATTGCTATGCCACAGATGCTTTATGCTGGTATTTTTTATCTATCTATCTATCTATTGCTAAGAAAATGGGAAATATGGATCAACCGAAGGCCAAGATGCATCTCTCAGTCCTTGTTTCAGGTCTTTGCTGAATTTTTTAATACCTCTTAAGGACATGACTGTCACATACAGTTGATCTGTTTTAGATCGATTCTTTTGTCCTCCACTTGAGCAGTTCCTTCTGATTTTTTTATTTACATAATGCACACTATGCTGAGATATGCCAAGTATTCAGCTAATAGTTCTTGTTACCAAAATACTGCTTTATATTTGTCAAACTATGATAGATTCTTGGTACATTTTTATAGATGCAACTGAAGAAACTGTTACACATTAAATGCTTTTATTAGAGGCTAAGAGTAACAGAGTGCCTAAAGATCCATCATCTATCCTACAGATACAATTTAAAATGGGTTCTTTGCCAAGTTGTCTTTGATGTATAGACAGAAAACTGGCTCACTACTTGAGTGATGTTTCTTTTTTCAGGCTTTGATGATTCATATCTCAGCGTTAAGTGATAGCACATATTATTAAATAAATACATAAACCTTCTAAAAATGGTCAGTATAAGGACTGGACTGAAAATGAGTGGAAATCAGCAAATATCCAAAGAAAAACTTTGAAAGACCCTCAGAAAGCTGAAGGGCTACTGAACAAGACCATTTTAAAAAATTGTAAGAAAGTCAAAGTCCTTGGAAGTAAACTATGCATAGTACTGTATGGTTCCTACCAGCTCCTCTACAGCAGTCATACAAAAGTGATTTCCCAACTCCTGTCCTCGTCACTTTAATTGGAAGAAGGTCAGCAATTAAACTGGAGGAGACGGAGCTGCTTAGAGGAGAAATGGCAGAAAGGACGACCTTAAGTAAAATACGAGGAGAACCCTGGCGACCAAGGCCACATGATTCTCTTGATCATTCACAGGAGGCCTAACTAGCTTGTCCTTTCGAGGGTATGAAAGAACACACCTACCATTCTTTTGGTGACATACCAAAGAAGAGAATTAATTAATCCCAGCCTGTCTTATTCACATCAGTCTAGTACATGAAGAAGAAGATCTGCCTCCTATTTGGAAGAATGATTAACATTATAATCGCCAACAGGACAATATCTAATAACCCGTCTTGATTACATCATCTTCACCATTATGCCAACCGCTAATTTGATCTATATTTTGTTTAATCCACATGAGTAAATTTTAATTTGATTTCATTTATCAAAAACATATTTCATAGACTGCAAGTGCGAAAGACCTATCACATCTATGATTTTTACTAAAACGATGTCATGATTGCAAACAGTGTAATTCAATTAACCATATTCAAAGTTATTAGGAAGCCAATTAGGGTTTCCTACATTGACGTGCTGTCAGATATAATCTGACAGTGTAGCTGCTGTTGGAAATAGCAGCCGATCTATCATAGCAGAGGCAAGCTAAATCCATGGCTGAATGTTTGATGAGGTACTTTGCAGCCCTGCAGGAATCTCCTCTGCCTGACTGCTGCTGTGAAAATCCTGACAGGACCTGCAGGTCAGAAAGGTCCAACAACTCTTCTGCCTTCTGGTGCAAAACAAACATGGTGTTTATGCTGTTATGCAGCTCAGTGTTTGTTTTCTCTTCATCCCTTCCCTATATCGGAAGCTAGAAACTTTACACAGGCATAACAAAATGGTTAAAACTACACACAGTTACTTTACACTGGCTGATGGCTCCACTGTTCTTGCACGGCGTGTGCTCTCGTGAGCAGTGGGCAGTATGTACAGTTAGCGTGCATGTATGTGGGATGTGATGCATTCTCTTCAGCAGTAATTTTCCCCAGACTGCTGCCTCTCTATTCCTGTTCTATATTTTATTTGGTAGCGGTATAAGCTGCTGAGTTACTCACTCTGTGTGAAGCGTGGTGGGTTGTCATTAACATCGGTAAGCCTGACGGTTACAGTGGTGGTCCCAGATAATCCTCCTAGGTGCCCCCCCATGTCTTTAGCCTGAAGCACCACCAGGTACTGGTCCTGGGTCTCCCTGTCCATATCGGGTACAGCTGTTCGTAGAATACCTGGAGAAAACACACACATAGGGTAGCAACACAAGGACCATGAACCTTGGTTTCTACCACTTGGCAACAAATGATCACAATACATCTGCGTGAGACTGAAACTCTTTTGTGATCAATATTTATAACTTTATGATTAACTGAACTTTCTGGCTTTAAAAATATACTTTCTGGCCTGCGCTCTGTTTTGGAAGAAAATCTCTCTGCACAGCAGGACCTCATCCTGCTCTCTTCACATCTATAACTTCCTTACAATCTTCTTACTCTCAGATAAAATATTGCAGTCACACCTTTGGTATGTGGATCTATCTGTTACACATTTGAAGGTACCACTTTCTAATTAGGCACAGCTTTCCGAGTTTACAGTTAATTTGACTGTTTGCAGTAAAATCCACATGCTGTGATCAGTCTTTAAGAATTGCATAAGTCTTTATTGACGACTGAGTCAGAACCGCCAATAGATCTGACAAGAACTAAATGTCCTATGAAGTGGTAAATTAATAAACAGACACCGTAACCTTTTATTAATGATTTATTAACATTTATAACAACAGATCTGACTTCCCGTTATGAACTGAGAAAGTCATGACCCTTTATTAAAGACTTCATCAGCACCGCAGTTACACATGTGAGGAAATCATTAATGAAAGGTCATTCTTGATTTCCAGTATGCCATTTAGCCTTCAGGTATAAATGTTAACAAGTTGTTATATAACACAGTTTGGTCCTGATGGTCTGCAACCCTTATTTATAAATCTAAGTACTGGTTATTCCATTAGAGTCACATAAAAACTAATTAGCAGTGTTGCCAGTTTTGAAAAGTACACATTCCCGCAAACTTAAACAATGTACATGCAAAATGAAACAAATGTATCACAAAAAGGTCACAAGCCAGCAGAAAAATACCACTCAGTTGATTTTATTGCAAAAGAATGTCCACTTGTTAACAGGTCATACATAACACCCAAAAATAAAACAACCCACTTTTTATGTGAAAGGGCAAGAATGTCAGCTCTGGCTTTCTATAAAATGCTTGGTCACAGTGATGTATTCCTCAGGCTCAGATTTGTGAGATTTATCCATGATGACGTCGCCCTGTGAGCACGACACAACCACAGTCCTGTTGCACGAGCACTGAAAAAAATGTCAAGTGTGTGCCGCCTGAGGAATGCACTGCCTGTATATTCCTTCACAGCAGTCAAGATGAAATAAAATGGGTTGGGAATTGTCAAATGTTGCTCACTTGTAGCAGAGAATGACAAAATCAACACTCACTTTCTTCCTTTACAGCCGCTAATCATTTGTAGTTTTATGTAGTTAGCTATAAAAAATAGTATTACAGTAAATGGACCGCTTGAATCCCCCATGCAAATATTAATGCAGGCAAACTACCATCAGGCCTCTGCAAAATATAGGTAACGTGCTAGATTAATTACTAATTTCTGAATTATTCATGCACCCTCTGTAAATCAGGTGGGCTAACCCGTGCAAGTTTATTTTGTATATTTTGCAGATAAATACAGTCATGTGAAAACAATGTTTTCATAGGACTCTATGCAGTCCTGTGAAAAACATCATCAGAGCTTCCATAGAAATTAAGAGGGTAAGTAACAGCTTGGTGCTGCTAATCAAATGAACATTGGTAACTAATCATTGGCACCTCTGTAACTGTTTTGGCAGTTTGCTGGTCTGGAGCATTGAGCTTAATGCAATGCTACAATCTTCCCAGGAGTGTCTGCTGGACAGATGAGATCAAAGCAGAGCCTTTTGGCCAAGACACACAGGACTGCACTTGGAGCAAACCAAGCATTGCATATCAACACAAACACTTGTTAAGCATGGTGGTGGAGGGTTGATGATTTGGGCTTGTTTTCCAACCACAGGACCTGGGCACCTTTTGGTCATTGAGTTAACCATGAACTACTCTTTATATCAAAGTATTCTGGAGCCAAATGTTGTCCAAAACTGGGTCATGCAATCAGGCAATGATCCCAAGCGAAGCAGTAAATCTAAAACAGAATAGCATTAAGGTGTTGCAATGAGCCAGTCAAAGTTTGGATCTTAATCTGACTGAAATGTTGCAGTGGGACTTTAAGCTGTGCATAAACAAATAATGCTGCAAAGAGGAGTGGGCCAAAATGTCTCCACAATGATCTGTGAGATAGATAAAATCATCCAGCTGCTGCTTAAGGTAGTTTTACAAACTATTGAATCACAAGCCGTATTTAATTTCTCACAGGACTGCACAGAGCCCTATGAAAACATTCTTTTCACTTGACTGTATGTGTAACTATTCTCATAAATGATTAATTTAAAAGTCCTGACATCCACCAATTAAGTTACTTTTACAATGCACTGAAATCAATTGGGTAAGGTTCTGTTATGTGTGTAGAAGGTTTAGACACCAACAAGTGAGCTTTAAAACAAATAAGGTAAAAAAAACAAAACAATAAAAAAGTAGAGGAAAGCACAAAGAACAACCTGGGAACATGAGGAGAAGTGGAGGGCAAACAGATGGACGGACAACTGACCGAGGGAGAGAGAAAACTGTCAAGCGCACAAAAAAGTAAAAGATATCAAAGCAAAACAAACAAAAAAAAAACTATGAAAGTACGAAAAACTAACACGGAGACAAACAGGAGGGCAGAGACAGAGGAGCATGGCCGACGCGGTGAAAGGAAAACATCAGGAAACACAAGAAATGATATCAAATTCATTCAAACTTTACACAAACAGCATGGCAGCACCTTCAACAAATAAACTTGCTTTAATTTTAGATGGTGGCATCTCTGTTGGTACGGTGGTTTACTCATCCTTCCCATGACAACAGAACTGTAATTTTACTGGTGTACTTAAACAACAGACCAGTTTATGGCGTATAAAATTCAGCTTACGACACAATAAACTGGAAAGTTACCACTTATAGCAGTTGTTTTATCATTTCCAAAGCAATCCTCAATTTGTTTCTGTGTTAAAAGCCCGTAATTTGAGTTTAATCGGAGTGTTTTTAAAGTTCTGCTTTGCCCTTTCACAGCCTATTGGACGATATCGACGTGCGCCGTCACCGAGCTGCTTTTCCTGACAATGTGGCAGTTTTTCTGACATTTTGGAGACACTCACTTTCCATTTGACAGCTACAATATATAACTTAATGTCCCGTTGAAGGCGCACAGAAACACACGTACATAAACAGATATGTGAAAAGGGGGCTCATCTGGAAAAGACAAATCACCACGCTGCAGCAGATAGACATGCTGACAGAGCATAAAATCACGTTCTGTGTCTCATGCTCTTTAGCGGCACACAAAGACGAATCATTTACTCGCGTTCGACATCGATCACCTCCCCCGTGCAAATGACCTCATTCTGCTACATGTGATTGGATGTTGCACATCAAATTCTGCCCGCTCTCGCCCAGCATCAACCAAAAAACACCGGCCTGGATGACTTGGCAGCTCAAGGTGAATCACATTCAGCCTGGGCTGCTTTTGAATGCTAACGAACGAACAGGCAGAAATATGTCGAGCTTTCTGAGCAGAATTCATAAACAAACAAAGTAAATGTATGAGCGAACGCGCTCGCCTCCGAGTGCACATTCTGAAAAAGACCCTCGGTGATGGAACCGACGAGAAATGGGGGGTGATTGAAAAGAGGGAGATAGGGAGTCGAGAAGAGGAGAGCGGACATGTTCGGAATGCTGAAGCTCTTCTGAAAGCACAGTGTCACGGCTAATACACACTGTGTGGAATTAGGCTTATATTTCAAAGAGTCCTGCAGCTCCCTTTGGTTATTTGAGAGGTCCTCACGTGCCGAGGCAATCAATTACCAGGCATTGACATTCAATGAGCAAAACACGAGTGCTGGCCACCTGTGACTGTGTGGGCAAAATAAACGCTCACATGGAGGCTCTCACTTCTACAGGCAGACAGAAAACAAAAATCTGAAAAAGTTAATAGATATGGAGTTTTACTGTGAAACTTAATGTCTCTTCAATGCGCGCTGCCTATCAAAACAGCACCTACAACATCAAGACAGTCAGTGCTCCATTTCTGACTAAACAGAGCTAAAAGTCCCCTCCAAGGTAGACTGCTAAAAAAGTAATCATCATAAAGTTAAATAAATAAATTAATAAATAAAGCGCCCTCCTCCGCCCTCAACCCCTAAACGCTCGACAATAAAACTTTTTGCCCTCAGGTGACATGTGCGAGACTCCGACACGGTGACAACAGGCACGCCAGACGCCTTCTTGAAGCCCTTTTGTAATCTGCCCTGCATCAGAGATCATAAGCCTTCGCTGACGTGTGTCTTTAAACGTGTCTTTTTCGCTTTTGCTTCACCCAGAAATAATAATATTAGGCTGTTGTTCGGCACACGCAGCCTGGCCGCGTGAATACATTTCTGCCAGCTCATGCTGGAGCGAACCGCAGAGGGGGAAAGAGGTGGAGGTGGGGGGAGGGGGGGTGTGCTTGAAAGAGCAAGTGTGTATGTGTTTGATGGGGCACAAGTGGGAAAAGGGGAAGAGAGAAAGATGGATGACTAAGTGTGACAAGAAAATGGGAGTTGCACTGGGGGGGAAGTGTTGCTTTCAGTGTGTGTGTGTGTGAGAAAGTCAGAGACATGTTTCTGTACTCATGCATGCAGGTCCACGGGTTCCCCAGTGTTTCACTCCACCTGTGTCTCACACACACGTGTGCGTCTCCTTAGGCCGTCACACAGCACAGACATGTCGGGTACTGTGAAGACCGAGCTCAGCTGTTCGCTCCTGAACATCTTGCACGTATGTCGCTTTCCTGCTGCATGCGTGCGTGTTTGCCTTCTGAGATCTGCGCATCTTTTACATTCGTCCGCCCACGTGTGTTACACGCAAACGCACATAAGCACGCTCACCTGTCTGGGGATCGACAGAGAAGTACTGCTGGCCCTGCACCAGTGTGTACACGAGCTTGGCGCTGTTCCCATACGTCGGGTCATCAGCATCTGTCGCCGTCACCTGGATTATAGACGTGCCTGCGGGGAGGGCAGACGAGGAAGGAAGGACAAAAGGGAAATAAAGAAAAGGAGGAAAAAAAGAAGAAGAGAAAGGAAATAAGCAACAAAACAAGCCAGAGCTGGAGCTAAGTAGACAGACTACAGCGGTACTTTAAGAGCATAAGAAAGCATTATATCAAGACAACCTCCACTCTTCTCTCCCACTCCTTCTTTTTCAATCTCTCTCCGTCAGCAGCGTGACAAATAGTTTATCCTTCCCCCCCACCCACCCACACACACACACACACACACACACTCTCTCTCCTTCATCTCTCTTGTCACTCACCTTCCTCCCCCCCCAAATTCCCTCTGTCTCACTTCATTTCTCTTCATCTCTGTCTCCAATTCCCGTTTGCTTCCTCTCTCAATCGGACTGTCTGTCCCTTCAACAGGCCTCTCTCCCTCTCTCACCCTCTCCTAAATCTTCTTTCTACGGCTGTTGCTGAGTCAATTTGCCAGGAAATTTTTTGTGGGGTATATTTTCAACAAAAAATGAAACTATATGAATATATGAAGCGTAAACACTTTTCATATATCATGTATTTGTATGGTGCATGTCTGTATTTATACAGAAGTGTATGGGGAATGACTTCTTCCAACGGTACTCAGAGGCAGATGAGATGGAGGAGGAAGACGTGGATTTGAGGGAGCAGCTTCTATTCTATATTTGATCAAAGCCTTGAGAGAATCACTATGGAAGAAAAAAAAAACAAAAGCCAACCACCACCACCAACAGCAACAACAACAAACGTGCAGTTTAAAGTACGCGTGTGCTTGCGTAGGGAGAGCAGAAAGGGGGCATGAGATCAACCGGTTACTGATCCATTGTGGGTAGTTAAGAATCAGAGCGGTTATTGACAGAAAGCAGATGTAAAGCATGTAAGCGCTGCACCTCAGAGAGCCAAAGACTGATGGGAGAGAGGTTTTGTTTGTTTAAAAGAAGACTTGGTGTGGATTCAGTTCGTCATGCAGTCGCACATGTAAAAACAAAAGATCATTTTAGTTTGTTACAACTAGGATCTCATTTTATAGCTCTTTTCATCTATAGTAGAAAGCAACGAAGTACATGTACATTTGACATATTTTACTGATGCTTATGCTTTGTCATATTAGCAAAGCTCAAGCTTGGCTGGATGTGTCTTACTTTCTACTTGACTGAACTGGTTTCACAGCAAGAAAATAACATAACATGAGCTTTGAACATACTGCCACAGCAGTTTATGGACTTTATAGTTTTGCTTTATTTTGAGTATTTTCTGGTGATTGTATTACTTACTTTCCTGGTTATAGTTCTGTTCATATTGCTGGTTTGTTCCATTTTCAGTTCCTGTTTCTTTAGAGTTTATTTTTCATCCTCTTGTGTCAGTAAATTCGTGTTTGTTTTTCAATTCAGTTATCATGTTTCACTTCCTTCTTTATTTTGATAGTTATTTGTTCTTTGTGCCTTCTTTGAGGTTTCCCCTAGTCTCATTTTCCCTGACTTTACGCACCTGTGTGTCCAACCTGGTGTTTAAGTCTGACATAATTAGCCATTTCTGGGTCCAAACTCCGCTTTAAAGTTAAACAAACACTGCGGCATCACCGAGAGTTAAAAACTGTCTAAATCCTTTCATCTTTAATAAAATGATCAGCGTTGCTGCTTTACCAGGTGTAACAATTAAGTTTAACATCCAGGCATCCATGAAAAGAGGATTTATGAAATTTAACAGAGTTAGAAGTTAGCAGGAAGTTAACTTGCTAGCTTCCATCTAAAGATGACACACCATGTTCTGACTGAGAGATTTCTGAAAAATTAAAACGTACAGCTCTGCTATCACTTCCAAAATAAATGAAGACAGAAAACTAAACAGCAGCGATGTTTGTAGTGCTACTGATGTTGGGCTAGCTGGTATATAACGATGTGCTACGTGGTGGCGGGCTACAGAGCTATGGTTAGCATAATATAAACACAGTGAACAATTGAGATAATTCATCGACAATATGAAGTTAGTCATTAATATACTCCTGCATGGGCTGGGCTGTAGTTACATTGTAAGGTTTTAAAAACAGAGCTTTAAATTGAACAGTGGTAATAAAAACCAAGAGAGCCCAACAGTGATCATTGCCTTTTTTTCATGGGATGTGTTCAGATTAAATAGAACAAGATACCGAGCATTATAATATGTTAAAATCACAGTAGCCTTAATAAATGCAGAGTAGTTTGGACCCGGAAGCAGGGTTCATACGTTATCACTTAAAGACCAGATTCCCATTATTTTCTTTCTTTAGGATTATTTCTACAGACTAGCATTAAAGGTTCGCTTGAGTTGTGCCCCCCACCCGCCAGAATTTGAGAACCACTGGGCTCAAGTGGAAGCTTCTGGAGGTAAATAAACAAACACGCTTTCAAAGGGCTTCAGACAAAGTTTCGAGTGCATTGATTCAAAAGATTCAAGACCGTTGTTGCCCTCCACAGAAGAGATCACAGCAAGAGCAAGGTATAGTGTGGGAGGTCAGTGATTATGCAAAGGTAGCCTGTAACCAGCTAAAGGTCTTTCTCACATTGGCTAATGTTCATATTCATGAGTTCAAGAGAGCACTGAAATCTGAATCTGTGCATAGCTTGGCTGCAGTGAGAAAGATTCTGCTCTCAAAAAGAGAAGCTGCTGCCTGTCTGTTGTTTTCCAAAGATCACGAGAACAAACCTGAAGGCTTTTGGAATAATGCAACAAATTTTGGTTTAAATAAGACACTTCATGTTTGGAGAAAGAAAGACACAATAATCCAGCATAAGAACCTTATCCCACCTGCAGTTACTGTCATCTGTATCAGTATGATGGTTTAGGTCTGTTTTTCTCCATTTGTGCCAGGTTAGCTTACCTTCAAAAGGGGAAGCAATGAATTCTGAATTCCACCAGCGATTTCTTAAAGAAAATGTCAGGACATTTCCCTGCGAACTGAATTTCAAGAGAAAGTGAGTCATGCAGTAAGACAATGACCCACAGCCAAAGATTAGTGAAAGAAGAATAAAGCCAATGGTTTGGAATGACCAAGTCAAAGTCCTGACCTTAATCCTATAGAAATGTTTTGGAATGAGCTGAAGGAAGCAGGAAACCCGCCAACATCAAACGCTGAAGCTTTTGTTAGAGGAGACGAAATCTCCTCTAAGTACTGATCGATAGTTACCAGAAACATTTAGTGGCGACTACAATTTCTACACAAGGGGTTCACACAAAGATGCTTTTACTTATCACAAATATATCTTATTGTATCATTTTTAGCAAAAAACTAAAAGACAACTGGTTCGTCTCAATGCATTTTTAAATTTTAAAGGGGTTTGAAGTGAAGCCACACATTACAACCACAATAATAACATAAACTGCTCAGAAAATGAAACAAACAAAGGGAACAGCTTTTATCAGCATCAAGTCATTTAAACTTGTGGGATATTGATCTGGTCAGTTAAGTATCAGAGGGGGGTTGTTAACAAGTTTCATCTGCTTTCGTGTTAATGACATTAACAACAAGTGCACTAGAGGGGCAACAATGAGACAAGCCCCAAAACAGGAATGTTTGTACAGGTAGAGGACACTGACATTTTCCCTCCTGATATTTTTGGGCTGTTTTTCACTAGTTTTGCATTTGGCTAGAGTCAGTGTCACTACTGGTAGCATGAGGTGATACCTGGACCCTACAGAGGTTGCACAGGTAGTCCGACTTCTCCAGGATAGCACATGAATACGTGCCATAGCCAACAGGTTTGCTATGTCTCCCGCACAGTCTCAAAAACATGGAGGAGATTACAGGACCGGTATCTGCTCCTTTGTGCAGGGAGGAACAGGATGAGCGCTGCCTGAGCTACAAAATGACCTCCAGCAGGACACTGGTGTGAATGTCTCTGATCAAACAATCAGGAACAGACTTCATGAGGGTGGCCTGAGGGCCTGACATCCTGACTGCTTCTAACATATCGTTTTTGTACTCTCTAGCTTGCCACATCATTATTTTCACTTTGATTTTCTGTGTTTCTGTGAATTCAGCCCTCTGTATGTTGATTTCATTTCCAGTCATCAGTATCCAGCACGACTGTCTTTTCTCACTGAAATCTGATGTGTTTCCAAAGTGTTCCTTTGATTTTTTTTGACCAGTGCACAAAAATACCAAAAACATCATTTACAGGAACACATTTTATGCTGAATGAGTAGTTTTCTCTGACAAATAGATGTCATTAGATTTTATTTGCAAGCAAACAATCAATAATGTCACTCACAAACCTTCACCGAGTCAGTCGAATGGATTAACGTTTGGTAGAAGCTGCTGGCGATGTTTACAAGAGACGCTTCCGCTAAATACATTTGACAGTTCTGATGTGTTTGTCTAATCAGCTGGACCACTTTTTCCTCTTTCTCCATCTCATCTGGACAGTTATCTTGACAAGTATAATTTTACAGTAAACAGAAATGACTGTGAAGCCGGCAAAAATAACAACCGAGATTAAAGAAACTGGAGTTATACCCGAGAGTTGGCGCGCATTCTAGCAAATGCTTGATTTTTGAGTGTGTTATTTATGTGCTCTACTGTCTTACAATGCAATGCCCAAAGGAAATGAAGTGGCTGCTCAGAGCGGCAAAACAAACAAACTGCGCGGAAGTCTGATCTTGGAAATAAGAAAAAAAATGAATTAAATGAAAACCCAACTGTATTTATTTATTTATCCATCTCAGAGTACGGCTCACCCTGCTGTGGCATTTCAAACTCTGTGGGTTGTGATTGACGCCTGCTGGCGGGTGCAGTGCAACTACATGGTAAATATATTTATATATCTATGGTTTACCTACATCTGCTTTTAGTTTTAGTAAAAAGCCTGTAGTGTGTGTATTTTATTTGAGGGACTGAGACACAGTAAAAGAGCAGAACAGGAGAGGAATATTTTTCTGGACCCATGTTTTCAGATGTTTGGCCATTAATTTAATCCATTCTCAGTTTTGATTTCTCTCTCC